GCAAGCGTTCTACCACAAAGCCACATTTCCAGCCTGCTGTTCACATGTGTTGAAACACCCTGTAAAACCTGAAGATATGACCTTGGATGAAAACATCTCACCAGAAGTGTGCTGACAGTGTTGAATCAGGTCTCGTGAATATTCAGACCATCAAGGAGACGAAGGCTGCCACAGCAGATGCCAGCTGGGAAAGCATGTGGCCAGAATTGGCCCACAGCCACCCAGGATTCGCTCCTGACGCAGTCCACACTCTGCGCAGCTCAGGCCGTGAGGCCGGCAGGATGACTGGGCAGAGGCCGTTTCAGTGACCTGATCAAGGCCCACCCACAACCACTGTCAGAGATGGAGGAGTCAGCCAGTGCACACAAGGATGAGCAACAACATGAACGAGAGGTGGAGCGGAGGAGGAGGTTGGCCTAGCACTCGATCGTCTCTCAGCCAAGGTCAGAATGGCCAAAGAACTTCAGCGAGCGGCTGAAGAACAGGACCCTCAGATGCTTCGCATGTTGCACTTTGCAAATACTATCGAGTGGCGTGTCAGTTCATCAAAACCTCCTCACTTGGAAGAAGAAGCATCACCAGCAGCTCCCCCTAACTGTGTTCATCACTCAAAGGGATCAGTTACATCTACGCCTTGAGTGGAAGGAGAAGGTATGGCCCACAGTGAGTACTGCACTGCCTGATGCAGGGGAGCCTTTGGAAGAGCTGCAGCGCTCTGCTTGGCTGTGCATTCATTCATCTCTTCTGCAGCGCGTTCATCGCCATCAGCGTTCACAGCTATGTCATTCATGATCTTCATCCTTCACTTTGTAGTATACCTCACTGGTGGGGATTTTTTTTTTTTTTTTGTCGGTCGTGGGGCTTGAACTCTGGGCCTGGGCGCTGTCCCTCAGCTCTTCAGCTCAAGGCCAGCGCTCCACCACTTGAGCCACAGCGCCACTTCCGGTTTTCTGGTGGTTTATTGGAGATAGGAGTCTCACGGTCTCTCCTGCCCGGGCTGGCTTTGAACCGCGATCCTCAGATCTCAGCCTCCTGAGTAGCTAGGATGACAGGCGTGAGCCACCAGCGCCCGGCACTGGTGGGGATTTTATATGTTGTTACAATTACATAGGTTTAAGAGTGGCATTGGTGGAGCTGGGAAGGTGGCTCAGTGTTAGAGCTCTTGCCTTGCATGCTTGAGGCCCTGGGTTTGATTCCTCAGCACCACATAAGCAAAAAAGAAAAAAGCTGGAAGTGGCGCTGTGGATCAAGTGGTAGAGTGCTAGCCTTGAGCTGAAGAGCTGAGGGACAGCGCCCAGGCCCAGAGTTCAGGCCCCACAACTGGACCCCCCCAAAAAAAAGTGTTTAAGAGCATATGAAGTGTTTATAAGAGCGTGGGAAACATTAATAAGAGAGTGAGAAAGGTTTAGAGGAGGGTGGGAAGGGTTTATAAAGCCTTAAACGTATATATGTAAGTAAAGCAAATATAACACTGCTACTTGGCGGGTTTCCACCCCTCACAGGGGTCTCTGGAACGTTACTCCTGCCAAAGGTGAGGGAGCACTGTGGTGCATTTTCCAGCCCCAGATGCCTCAAACCACAGCCCTTAGATCCCAGCCCGCAGGGTAGCTAGGATTGCAGACCATGAGCCATCGGTGCCTGCGCCACATTCCGCACCAAGTTGCCCTTTCCAGTGAGTTCTTTCGTGTCTGTGCACAAGAGCAGGCTCTCCCCCAGCGCATTCTAAGCTAACGCTTCTTTCTAGTGTGAGTTCTTTCCTGCTTGCGAAGGCGACAGATGGGAAGAAGGCTTTTCCACAGTGGGAAAACGTGTGTGCGTGCATGTGTGTGTGCGTGCGATCGCTGATGTTTTGAAAGGGTATTCAAGAAAAGGCTTTCCCCCGTCGCTTCCATCCACAGGGTGGTTGTGCACCGTGGGTTGTTTTCACGTGGCAGGACACAGGACAGCTTTCCCACGGCGTGCACGGGCAATGGGTCTCATCCTCCGTGACTTTCTTCATGTGTGTGAAGGCTCACCCACAGTGCTCACAGAAACACTGATTCTCTTCTGGATGTGGGGTTTTAGGGTTCGGGCAGGTGGAGCCTTCCTGTAGGAGCACGGTGTTCCAGGGCTCCCACACAGAGGGGTTCGCGAGTGTGTTTCTTCATGCCTCACTACACTGTCTGTCGCCACATCGGAAGGATCGTGTGCCGCTCAGCACACTTGGGAATGAGTGTCTAGCGAGGACGCGGCTGCCCGTGCGGCTTTCCAGTTTTCTCCCAGGAGGAATTTTCTTCACCTTACGGTCTGGAATTTGCTCTAAAGGTTTCTCTACATTATCCACCTTCCTCAGGCTCCCAGGGTCTCTCAGCAATGAGATGCATTACGAAGGCCATATTGGGAATAGATCTGGGTGAGCTCTGGTTTGCGCACGTGAGCATTACTCAATGTGCATGATAGTATTTTGCACAATCCCAGGAGAAAAGCTAATGTCAACACACTAGGATTCACATGAGCTATCTCAGTACTTTTTAAAAATATAATTTTGCTCTTATCATTTTTCAAAAAGAATAAAATAGATTGCACCTTTATTAGAAAGTTTGGAAGAGTCGGGCACTGGTGGCTCACGCCTGTCATACTAGCTACTCAGGAGGCTTAGAGCTGAGGATTGCAGTTCAAAGCCAGCCTGGGCAGGAACGTTTGTGAAACTCTTATCTCCAATTAACCACCAGAAAACTGGAAGTAGCGCTGTGGCTCAAGTGATAGAGCGTTGGCCTTGAACTGAAGAGCTGAGGGACAGCACCCAGGCCCAGAATTCAAGCCCCACGACTGACCAAAAACAAAACAAAACTCCAGATCCCTTCACAGAGCTGCGTACACTGAGATCAGAAAGAAGACATACAAGGCTCCTCCAGCAGTGACCGAATCGCGTATACCACGGGACAGTCCCCGGGGACAGCAGAGTCATGTGCTCCATTCTGCGCATTTTCAGGATTCTATTGGGATCACGGTCCAAGCTTCTCATACACTGTCACCATAGAATTGTACCTGTATTGGTGATGACAGATTTCTCCCCTCTAGGTCCATTTGCACAGTTCTGAAGAGGTTCTGAGCAGCTACACTGTGCTCAGGTGAATGTGGTTGCTTCTAATTACAATTCACTTTTTATGGTTGACCATTTACTGATATGTTTCATCTTCACATCCTCACAGATATATATGATTCAATCCTGTTCACATCAATTGATTATCACTCTCATCTCCTCTTCAATGTGGGAGAAGCTGACTTCCAAAACAGATCCTAGGAAGGCACCAGTGACATCTGTCACCCAACCTACGCAGGGGGCTGACAGCTGATGATCAGGGTTAGAAGCCAGCAAGGGTCACAAAGGCCATGAGATTTGTATATCCAACTGACCACCAAAAAGCCAGAAATGTGGCTGTGGCTCAAGTCACACACTACTAGTCTGGAGGGGGAAAAAACATCACACAAAAGTGCCAAACCTCAAAGTTTGAGCCACGACCAGAACCATTAAAAAAAAAAATCATTGAGATTATGAGAGCAGAGAAACATACGTCTTTCCTTGCTTGTTCTCTCATGTGAAATCTGGCCCCACGTCCGTCAACAAGGGTGTTGTCTACTATTTGGGGGCATCTGACCCGTTGTCTTCTGGGCACAACATTTTTGGGTGAGGAATCTCTCTCGTCAGAATGGGTTTCTCTCATGTCATCCCGCTGTGTTGGTGGGTGAACCATGACTAGATTGGGAGCTTGTGTGAACTCTATTTTCCTGAGGTTCAACTCAGCCTTGGTCAGTTTTGTTCCTGGCAGGATGTCCGCTGGTCTGGGGAGGAGGTCTTGTGTGGCTATGCTTTCTGCATGTGGCTGTGACTGCAAAAGCTTCAGATGAGGTGGGAGTGCCTTTGAACTTTCATTGGTGGTGCTGCCCTCCTCCCTCCTCCCTCCTGCCTCGTGAGCCGACAGGTCCCTGTCTATTGACACATCACCACTGTGTTCACATCACTGCTCGTCTGGGTATAAAAGAGGGCATGGGCATGCTGCCTTAACACAGACAAAATATGCTGGGTGGTGGCTCACGCCTGTCATCCTAGCTACTCAGGACGCTGAGATCTGAGCATCACGGTTCAAAGCCAGCCTGGGCAGGAAAGTCCATGAGACTTTTCTCTCCAGTTAACCACCAGAACACCGGAAGTGGCGCTATGGATCAAAGTGGTAGAGTACCAGCCTTGAGCTGAAGAGCTGAGGGACAGCGTCCAGGCCCAGAGTTCAAGCCCCACAACCAGAAAAAGAAATCCAGAAGTGGCACTGTGGCTCAAGTGGTAGAGTGTCCAGGGCCCTGAGTGATGGACAAAGCTGCCTCTCCCTGACTTGAGTAGGACTCAAGCTTCTCCCAGGGTGGAGACAAGGCTCAGGCCAAGGGGCAAGGGCAGGCAAGCAGTCGCTGCCGCTGGCTTTCCAGAGAGGTCACCTGCTTCTTCCTGCCCTGCGCTCCACTGCTCTTCTTCCTGGAGTCTGCATCCCGGCGTGCTCAGGGAATCCCAGCCTCTGTTCCTCGGGGATAACCTGTGACCCCGATCAAGGAGGGCTCCTGGGATCAGGCCTCCAACTACAAACAGGAGGGGCCTGCTCTTGGCACACGCTGGAGGAATGTGGCAAGGCAATCCAGCGGTTGGTCTTTATAGACAAGGCTTTTTAAATTTTTACATCTGCCAGTTTCAACAAAGGAAATAATGTCTGCAAACAAAGCAATACAACTCCCCGGTGCTAGAGAACCAAGACATGGTTCACCCTCATTCCATGAGGGAACCAGAGGAAAAGGAGCAAAGGTTCCCAACGAGCGGCTTCTGTGGCGAGCGGCTTGCCGTTGCTGGACGGTTACCGCAGCAAGCAGCCGCCCTGGGCTCAGGGCTGGCCTGCGCTGAGTTCCTTCGTGTCTTAGAAGGGCACAGGAGAAATGACTCCCCCACCTGCTCCCTCCACTGCGGTGCAACCCGCACGTCAAAGGCCTTCTCACACGGTTAGGATCCCCGGGGATCGCGGGCACTCCATGGCTTCTTGAATGTGAGATCTTTCCAGAGCGGAAGCCACCGACGGCTTCTGGCACTGCCTAGAGACAGAGCGGCTCTCTCCGGTGTCAGCTTTCTGAAGATTACCTGAACCCGGTAAACCCTTCCCCCGAGCCCCACCGCAGAGGGCGTCTCTGCAGTGTGAGTTCCGTGCGGGGCGCGGGGACATGAAAGGCTTCCCCGCGGGGCTCTCCAGCCGGACGAAGGTGTCTCCCCGCCCTGTCACACACAGGGGTGCGGGGCGTTCCCCGCACGGAACACGTTCCTAGCGATCCCCGGGGGTTTTCCGGGCGTCCCACGCGGCTGACGGGCGCAGGGCTCACGGAGACGGAGCGTGCCGGAACAGATGCAGGCCCTGCACAGCGCTCCCACCCGTGGGTCTCTCCAAGCTGACTCCCTTGTTGTTGGGTCGGTGGTGGGTCTTGGACCCGGGGCCCGGGCGCCCCTCGGAGCCCGCAGCTCCTCCGCCCGAGGCGAGCGCCTTCCACCTCAGCCGGGCGCCACTCCCGGGCTCCGGAGATCCGAGTCCCGCGGGGGCTTCCACGTCACAAAGCTGCCAAAGCGACCACGCGCCTCGTGATTGGCAGTGCCTGCAGGCGAGGGCAGCCTCTGATTGGGTGATGATGCGAAGCCCCACCTCCGAGCTGTGATTGATAGCAGTAGTGTCCTATACCTGGCTGAGCCCAGAGCCCAGGCCCCGCCCTTCTCGGCCTGGGTTCCGGCCCAGGGAGCAAGCGCTGCTCTGCGTGGCCGTCCCGTCGTCCACTCCCTCGCCCTGGCGGTGGCCTTGGGACGAGTTTTCTTTTCTTTTTTCATTTTTTCTTCATACTGTGCAACTCTCTAGAGCAGATCCTTTCTGACGTTAAAGACACAAGAACTGTTCCTGCCGTCCAGCTTCTCACTCTGCGGACCTGGCAAGTCCTGCTCGATCCTCCCCACACTGGGAGACGAGATGCAGCAGCGTCCCTGGGCCTGACCTCGGCCTGGGCCGGTCCCCGCGCCCTCAGCTCACGGCGCGCGCGCGACCACCGAGCCACCTTCCCAGCCCTTGGTCCTAACTTTTTGACAAGAAATAATTTATTTCAGTGTAGAGTTAAAGTAGGGAGGGAAAAAAAAACAAACTATGGACTCCAGGAAAAGGAAGCTGGAGAATCTGCCGCCGGCCGCGGGAAGGCCCGGGCAGACTGTTCCAGGCTCTCCGTCCAGCTAATCGGGTGCAGGCGAGGTGGTGGGTGC